TAACTGCTTCTCCAGCCGTTGTCATTAAAATGTGACCGAGTAGGATGTTCTGTGGAAGACCTTCGACACCCATACTTCAGTGCCATGACCATCTCAAATCAGCTTCAGTCCAGTACACCACAAGGAGGCTTAAACCAACCTGTCGCAGTCTTCCATTAACACATGTCAGAATTTCGCTTAAACGACTATAAATTGTGACTGGACGTTGAACAAACTTAAACCCACTAAACCATACCCGACCCGTAATAATACCATAAGTTGAAAAAAAAAATCACTGCATCAGCAAGGAGCCTTAACGTTTTCGCTACTTACGCGATTTAGCTTATACTAGCGCAATCAAGTAAATAGCGAAAAGGTATAAGCTAGATATATAAATCGACTCTGCGCTGCAGGTAGGGCGTAAAAATGTACCTGCTCACCGCTATTGCATGATCGCAAGAGGCGACTTTGTTTAGAATATAGATATTTTCTCTTTTTTTAGCCTATTTATCTCTTTCTAATATCTTCCGCGAGGCTTTCACAATTGGCCTTTATTGAGCTTTGACCTATGCGATGAAGGCTTTGGATTCTGTCCATCATACAGTTAGGATCATTTTGGATTGGAAGAGAAATTATAAGCCAAATTGAGATGAATCAAGCAAATTAGTTTCTCGGAATTTCAGTATCAAAGTGCTGGAGTAATAGCCCATTACCAAATCTCTCACGAGACATTTTTAATTTGAATGTGCAGATGGCCTTAAACCCCCTCAAATCCGACGTGTTTTGGTAATTCTAATTGTTAATGGATATCGGCACATATCGTCAGCTTATCCCGTCTTATGAATGATTGTACAAAAGACTGACAATGTAATAATACCATTTTAATAATGTAGCGTAAGATATTGTAGAGCCAAACAATGAATTAAACTGCATCATACGGCTGATTCTAAGGGCCTAAATTTTGAAATTTGGGAGGCGACTGAGGAAAATCCGAAGTGGTGACTTCGACGTGGATTTGTAGAACCCCGCAATTAAATAAATTTCGTAATTTTCATATATCAAATAATTTCAGAATAGTTTCGAGTACAATGATATTTAAAATAATAAGGCATGTATTTTTAATCGTGATTATAGTCTTATAATCGAGGTATTTTGTAGGTCACCATATCCATGTCGAGGAGAGGACGACATAATATTCCCCGGAGGTCGGGCATTTATTTGCTTCCCTGTCTTCATAAACAATTTTTTTTTTTTTTTTTGTAGAAAGCTTATTAATTTCCAAGTTGATTCTGCCAACTTTTCAGAGAAATGATCCATACTAACTTTTGTTATTGATAAATCAAAATACAATTGAAGTACTATATCCTGCAACTGGCACTGCCATTGTCGGAACACACCTGTCACATATATGTTTGCTGTATTCGGCATTAACGGGGAAAAAAGCTGTATTTAAGCACGTGCTTATATTCTAAGACTGACCATGTATTCTGTGGTAGAAGGCATATAGCCACGATTACAACATTTGATTTTCCTGGTCATTATCACAACATATTAACCTAGGGAAAAGTCCATAATTATATAGTATTTTAGATCTGTAAATGCTATATTACTGTAATGTTATTTTCAAAATACCAGAGACGTATAATGTCCCTCTGTCATACGTCCGAGCAAAAAATAAATGTGAAATTCTATGTATTAAGAAATGTAATTTTACAAGTAGTGTGTATCAAGAAATGTGATTTTATTGAATATATATCATGACAAAAAATGTAATATTGTATAAAATATCTGAATATTTTCTTCAGGTTTGTAAAGACAGAAGTTATAATAGAACAACCAATCTTAATAAAGTCTATTCTATTATATGAAATGTATTTTTTAGATGAGTGTAATGTGCCATTTCTTCAACTTCAAAAATATTTATAGCAAGGACTTATAATATAGTATGATACCGCACGGTCTATAGTATCTGGTATTATATTTCCGGAAACAGGTCACAGAGGTATAAAAATAACAGGCAATTGAGCAAGGGTGAAATATATACTCGGTATGGAACTGATTATAATTCTTTTGCAATTGTATTCCTGTAACATTTTGTAAAAAAATGGATAAATCGGAAACCTCCCATCGGTAATACAAATCTCCATTTTTAAGTGATTAGGGAGGGTTGCGTGGCAACCACTTGCTTTAGAGCTTCTAGCAATATATATTTGAACGTTAAATTGTACATTGTTGGTGAAGCGCCATAAGGCATTAAAATGTCAATGTGTCGTATTTCCGTTGACCTGGCTGAAACACCAGGATGCTGTGAGCTCTACCCACTACATATCAGGGTTTTTTTTACAATTCCTATGTGAATCCAAGTGCACTACTCGTATAGTCAACGAACTAGGATGTAAAGAATAGTCAACACTCAACAACAGCTTTGAAGGACTGTGAGATGGCAGGTTCCATATATAGCTAACTGCACTACATCGTTAAGAATACCCATACAGTCTTCAATAATAGGTCGAATGTCTGCAATGTTTGAGTCTGTTCAAGTACAGTGCCATCGGCTTTTCTCAAACATTCCAGTTAAAAGTCGAGTGTTATCGACAGAGATGACGAGATCTGGGTGACATTTGTTATTCTTTTTACTAAACTATCTTTTCTGATGTCTCTTGACAATGCTTCACGTTTTGACAGAGACATTCTAAAGTCTTAAGATAACAGCTTTTACCCACATCTTCCTGTATAACTGGAGTCTATATACCTGGGGTGTATTTCTGCGATACGTCGTGGTTTGTAAATCTTTTATTATTACTGCGTCAAGAAGTATTTTTTATGTATATCACATCGTAAGCTATCTAGACGGCTTTGCTAACTTGTCTGGTATGTTGTATTTTTGACATTCTTATTCAAATGTGGATTCGAATTCTCGCTCCGTTCCTCCCCGCATTAGGACCAGACAATATTCTGTTTCTTACCAATTATATGCGGAGCGTAACGGAACACGAACTGGGACCTGTATTTCAATCACGAATATGTTGTAAGTTTTTGTTTTCGGTTTTTTTTTTGGGGGGGGGGGGGGGGGGGGGAGGATTTACTCTTTTGTTGTTTATTGGAATGCAGCGTTATTGGACCGTAACATCATGGACGACGTCGAGTCTCAAGCTTGTAGGCTCGAAAGCAAGGTTACCATTGCAACGTTTAAAAAATTCCATAACAGCAATCCAGTAACTTCCTTCCTACAGGGACTTTGATCAACATTGCACTTGGCCATTGTTTTATCGCGCAGCAAGGATTCCTATCACTTGTAATGTCTTGTCAGTTTTGTCGTTGCTAAAATTCTGATCTCCTTTCTAGATCCCTTGTTATAACATTTTATCAATTGGTGGCCTTGTCTTTGTCGGCGTTACATGTTGAGGTGGGCTCAAACAAATAACAGATAACGACATTAAATTGAATTGAAAATGTATTAATACATAAATAAGTAAGTTACAATACTACAATATAAATTGGTAATGATGGGCACAATCAAAGATAGAATAAAACGTGTTTAAATGGTATAAAATTATACACTGGAAAGGTCATCTACACACTCAATGACGTACAACTCATCATCCAAACGAGTTTTACAATAGTTATTACACTGGATACATACCCTGTTTACGAGTTAAGGAAACGAGTTTTAAAATAAGAATATTACGATAAATTTAGTTTTACGAGTTATCTGGTGTTATATATCACGTTTGAGAAGATGGTGGTCGGATAGTTTTGTGGTAACATTTGTTTTCTCACCTAGCCGTCAGGGGTTCGATTCCTAGAACGGACGTGAAAAGGTATGGGGTCACCTGCCCGACCACGTGGGTTTTCCCTGGGTACTCGGGTTTCCTCCCACATGCGCTTACATCCGGGTTAACAAGGGTGGTTAGTATAAGTTGAAATAACGTGTTTCGCAAATGTTTTAAAATAGATCAAGTTTATATTATAGTAAATGGTTATGACGATATTTAAGTAAACGTATTCCGTCTAGAATATGTTGTATGTCTTCAAACAGACACAAAATACACAACGTTCAGATTAATTTTGAAGCAAACAACATCTATCACAAATGTCAGTAAGAATTTTCTTTGGTAATGTTAACATGCTTGTATCAACCAAGATGTTGCACAATCAATGAACCTAATATATGTATCAAAATAGCTTGTATTAATATAGAGGATTCGGGCGATAAACAAAAAGCTTTGCGTCTATGAAATCGTTAATGTGCTACATTTTGTGCTTTCAACATATATTTCAATATCAGATATACTTTGTATGAACACTGGCGTACGATTTTCGAGGCCCATTCTCATTCATTGTAGTGGAATTAATTTCAGAATGTGCACACACAAAAAATGCAAAGCTTTTTGCAATCTAGATATTTTAACAGAATATAACTTCTCCAGTAACGAGGAAATATTTAACTTAATATTTCAATTTCGTCATTCTCCAGGTATCCCTCTCATTGTATTCATAAAAGTATTCCCATATCTTGAACTCCTAGATGCACCATAATTATTTTATTTTATTTTTCAGTTCATTTGGTATAATTTTAAAGTTTGAATTTCACGTGTTTCATTTTGTGATAGAATCTTTCTTGGTGTTGTTGTGCAATAAATATCTATGTCATTCGACCGCAAAACAATACAAAACCAAGCGCTGTACGGTCTGATTCAGATGAAGGCACTGTTATTTGTAAGTCATTGCAACATTTTAATAATGATTCTAAATATATTCCTACGGTCAATCAAACTTCAGTGTCTGAAAGTCAATCGTGTAAATAGCTCTAGTGGTTTAGTGTTGTGTTGTTATGTTCCTCTGAAATCCGAGTGTTCATTTTCCTGAGTATGACACAGAACTCCGATCCAAACGGGATTCCACGTCAGAAGAGTGCACTGATGCTATCCTAACGCTAAATCTAATATCGAGATACAAGCGGTTATCAGAATACGATAAAGTTAATTAGTTGCGAATTGAGACAGGAAGCCGTAGTTTCTTCAAATTTCATTTTAAGTCCATGAACTGGAATAAACTGGCACTAATTGACGATATAGACCGAGATAATAAAGTTATATTTAAAAACTCCCTCTGATCAAACCCAATTAAAAATTTCTCTATGTATGTAAAAAAATTTACGACAATTCATTTTAGGTGATAAACTTCTTTTTCTTCAGTTGTGAATGAACGAATTCCTCGTAGGCTATGTTTCCATCCTGATTTTCGTCCATACTTGCAATGTCTCTTTTCATTTCGGCGTCGACCTCTATCCCCATATCTCTGAATCCTTGCTCAATTTGATCTCTTCGAGCCTTGCCGTCTTTATTGTCGTCAAATCTTCCAAATAGATCTCGCATCATACTTGTTCTGAAACATAAAGATTCTGACATAGTTCAACAATTCTGATTTTCAATTCATTGGGTCTCGTATAAATTCTGACATCATACTTGTCCTGAAACGTACCCATTAACAGATGATAGTTGATCTGTGTTGTACAATTCTCACACTGTTGGTCTTGCTTCCTTTAGACAGTTTTGGCAGTATCTGACAGTGGTCGCAAATTATGTTTGCATGGTGGCTGACGATAATTAGCGGGGCGAAAAGGTGTTAATTAGCTGGGCGAAAAGGCGATAATTAACGTTTTGTTGCGGCGAAAAGACGATAATTAGTGGGGCGAAAAGACGATAATTATCGCTTTGTCGCGGCGAAAAGACAATAATTAGCGGGGTGAATAACTTCAAGTTTTCGTTATTTCGCGTTGAATTTTGTCGTCTTTTCGTTATGTCGCTGTGAAAAGACGATACTGATCGTTCTGTCGGGGCGACAAAGCGAAACAACGAAATAGCAGAAATAAGCCACCATATGTTTGACATTATTAGAAGTTCAGAGTAAATATTAAACAATTGTTCTTTAACACTTACTCAAATATATACGACACGGAAAGCAATTTTACTTACACCACTTCTTCAGTGTAAAGGCGACATATGGCATGACTTACTTTTGTAGAACTTGTGGGTTATTTTTCATAGCGTCGAAATATTCATCAAGTGTTATAACTGTGTTCTCGTCCTTGTTCACGGATTTCAGCAGAGCCTGTTCATATAAAAGTTCAATATTAATTCGTCATAATTGGTAAACAGTATTCTCTACAATAAATTTCGATTTTTTCGTACTTTGTATGACGAGGAAAATATCGTGGAATCTGTCGCAGAAGATAATATTAAATGTACATAGGATACTTTTGAATGTACATAAGGTGATGTAGAATGTACATAGGGTGATGTAGAATGTACATAAGGTGATGTAGAATGTACACAAGGTGATGTAGAATGTACACAAGGTGATGTAGAATGTACACAAGATGACGTAGAATGTAAACAAGGTGATGTAGAATGTACATACGGTGATGTAGAATGTAAACAAGGTGATGTAGAATGTACATACGGTGATGTAGAATGTACATAAGGTGATGTAGAATGTAAACAAGGTGATGTAGAATGTACACAAGGTGATGTAGAATGTACACAAGATGACGTAGAATGTACACAAGGTGATGTAGAATGTACATAAGGTGATGTAGAATGTAAACAAGGTGGTGTAGAATGTACACAAGGTGATGTAGAATGTACACAAGGTGATGTAGAATGTACATAAGGTGATGTAGAATGTAAACAAGGTGATGTAGAATGTACACAAGGTGATGTAGAATGTACACAAGATGACGTAGAATGTACACAAGGTGATGTAGAATGTACACAAGGTGATGTAGAATGTACACAAGGTGATGTAGAATGTACACAAGGTGATGTAGAATGTATACAGGTGATGTAGAATGTACACAAGATGATGTAGAATGTACACAAGGTGATGTAGAATGTAAACAAAGTGATGTAGAATGTAAACAAGGTGATGTAGAATGTACACAAGGTGATGTAGAATGTACATTAGGTGATGTAGAATGTACACAAGGTGATGTAGAATGTACACAAGGTGATGTAGAATGTACACAAGGTGATGTACACAAGGTGATGTAGAATGTACACAAGGTGGTGTAGAATGTACACAAGGTGATGTAGAATGTACACAAGGTGATGTAGAATGTACACAAGGTGATGTAGAATGTACACAAGGTGATGTAGAATGTACACAAGGTGGTGTAGAATGTACACAAGGTGATGTAGAATGTACACAAGGTGATGTAGAATGTAAACAAGGTGATGTAGAATGTACACAAGGTGATGTAGAATGTACACAAGGTGATATAGAATGTAAACAAGGTGATGTAGAATGTACACAAGGTGATGTAGAATGTACACAAGGTGATGTAGAATGTACACAAGGTGATGTAGAATGTACACAAGGTGATGTAGAATGTACACAAGGTGATGTAGAATGTACATAAGGTGATGTAGAATGTACACAAGGTGGTGTAGAATGTACACAAGGTGATGTAGAATGTAAACAAGGTGATGTAGAATGTACACAAGGTGATGTAGAATGTAAACAAGGTGATGTAGAATGTAAACAAGATGACGTAGAATGTACACAAGGTAGCGCCTTAAAGTAACCACCAAATATAATACATTGTGACAAAATACAACGTAACCAAAATCTATCGTAAGTAAATGGTCAGTGGTCTGTCTTTCTGTCACGAGCCAAAATACAGCTTATATTATAGTACACTGACCATGTATTTTATTTATTCCGCCACACTTGTTGAAAACTGAGACCATCAGCAGTTTATTAGGCCTATTCAATCTCTAACTACCTAATGTTGCCATTATGCTTGATTGTGTCTGTTGACGCACATCAAAATCATTGTTCAATACTTAGTTGGATATAAAAAGCATTTTCGAAAAGAAATTTCCTTGTTACAACAAATGAAGTCGCTTATTAAAACTGTGGTTCATATTTATATATGGAATGTTTAAGTTTATCAGAAAGTAAACCTGACGACTAAATGCACGCGCTAAAATACCCTTTTTTGCCGTCACTGTCGGGTAAATCAAAACTACATGTGGCAGCGCCAGTTACAGGATGAAAGAAAGCACCATATATGAAATAATGCTACAGAATATAATAAAGTTATATATTAAAGACATAGCTGCCACCAAACGTTATAAAATCACCACCAAACGATCATACGACTTTACAATATGACGTAACCAATGTCAATTTAAAAAAAACGTGGCGCAGTGGTAACGCACTCGCCTTTCACCTGGCCGTCCAGTGTTCGACCCCATAAATGAACATTAAAAGAAAAAGGGTCACCTGAAGGACCATGTGGGTTTCCACGTGTTCTCTGGTTGTCTGTCACCTGTAAACCCTATCAAGCGCTTACATCCGGGCCAACAAGCGTGATTAGGATGAGTCGAAATAACTTTTTTCGCAATTGTTTTAAAATAGTTTATATAAGGTATTTACTGTGTAGTCATAGTCTCACCCACCATGCCTTGGTCGCTCCCTCCATATCCCAGGAACATGAGAAGTTTCACAAACTGATCAGGGGTCAACATTCCATTTTTGTTTGTATCCATCGCAGTGAATTCGGCCTTCAGATAGCGGTCAGTTATTGAAAGGGCAGTGCTTCCCTCCACGTGCTCGAAATCATCATCTTCTGTTGCTGTAGCGGAGTACGCCCCCTTTTTAGTGTTTTTGCTACAGCAGATAAAAATTAAGTAGTTGTAAAATGGTAAAATGTTAGAGGATAAAATTTGTCTTTATGTCCTTCCAAATACTCAAATCTCATTTCTTGATCTCGGGGTTTTTTTACGAATAAAATAATTTTAGATTATTGGAACAAAACGTTTTGCATTAATGTTACATAAAAGGATCGGATACAGAGTATTACAACTCATCAAAGTCTTTTATATAACAGATATACACATTCAAATATCAACAATTGAATTATCAACTATTATTATCGTGTATTCAATATATAACGTATTTTACCAGGTACACGTTGGAACAGGAAGAAAAATAAAATGTGGAGGGGGGTGGGGGTGGGGGGGGGGGGGGTGAAGAAGAGGAGAGGATATCGTAGACGTCAACAGGAAAATAGATGACACGATACACGTGTGTTGATCTGTAGTTACGCAAATTTTTTAATAATTTTATAAATTTTGATCATTAAATTTCAAAGAACGCTGTATAGCGTCTCATATTTACCATATGATATACAGCGTATAAATAAGACAGTAGTAAATGATTTCAAATAGCTTTGTTTGATTTCATGTTTTAAAATTCATCACCATACAAAAGGCTTTCTTGTATTATATTTGTATACATATACCATGTTAGAAAAATCGTGAAATGAGACTTCATTTTATTACCGGCGACATGAAGAATTGTCAGCGAGATCAATGTTAAACCGACTTCAGCGGTAGTACATGATACATGATATGTTAAAACACGGTTGTTTTACATTGATAAGCGTGTCATGCGATTCCCTCGAATAATTGGCCACATTTTTTTTATTCTCAGAGCCATTCTTTGGATTCAATAACTTTACAAGAATTGACCATATTTAAATTTCTATAGTTGTCGTTCATACCAAAAACCACCCACACTCAAGATAAGATGTGTAGATGCCTACACGCGCATACGCATCCTAAACTCACGTGCGTTTTACTATTATATTTTTACATATATGCTGACATAAAGACATGTACATATTTATATATACACAGGTAATTGCCGTGAACTGGGCAGTGCATAGTCATGAGCGGTTTATGTCAACAGGACTGCTTTCATGTATTGGCCGTTGAGAAACACTAGTTCCGTTTTAGCAATGAAAGGGAGATAACCCTTGCGAGGGAGGCGAAACTCTTTGCTGTTCGCACAAAACTGTACGACATCTCTGAGAAATATCCGAAAATCTATCGAAAAATGGCGGAAATTTTCCCGAGAAGTTCCGATTGTATCTTCTTCCTGCCGACAACTGTTCCTCGTGTCATTTTTACACTTCGCTGACATAATTATATCAGTTGGTTACACGTTGATATTAACTCTGTTTTTATAAATTCATCATTAAATTCTATGAAGCCATTTTACATTAAACATCAGGTCATTATAACTAGGTAAATAATTATCAAATTGAAGTTTTAATTGTCACGTTGTTTTCTGTCGGATTATTACGGTAAAACGTAAGTATGTTAAATGAAGGTCAGATAATTGATCTGGACCCAGAGCACTCGATCTGCCAAACTGCATGTAATCGATACAATGAAGAGACGTTTATACATTGTTATGTAATGAAATAGTTTTTTCGTGTTGGAATTTGATCATTTAAAGCTGCAATGCTTGGTTTCTAGTTTTCTACTGTCAAATGTTTAAATCAAAGATCGTTTGTCAAAAGATAAGTTTTACATAATATCGATATCTGTAAACACTTGAAAACATATCAAAACCTTACCTACATCACAGACAGAATATTCCTTTCTGTATATAACAACTGGTCATTTTATATATTGGAACGTGCGGGGTTAGATGTACGTTGCATTCCATAAGAATTTACAAACAACATCATTCCCTTCCTTCATATTTCAAACAATGTTGCAACACCATTATATCCCCCATACCTTCAACCCAGACAACAAGCCAAATCTACTCACAAATGCTTTCAACCCAGACAATAAGACCAATCTACTTATCTAAAGACTAATTGTTTTGTAGAAAGGTGACCTGCATAGACTAATGGTTTTTATAGAGAGGTGACCTGCATAGACTAATGGTTTTTATAGAGAGGTGACCTGCATAGACTAATGGTCTTAGTAGAGAGGAAACCTGTGTAGACTTATGGTCTTTATAGAGAGGTGGCCTGTGTAAACTAATGGTCTTTATAGAGAGGTGGCATTTAAAGTTTAATGGTCTTTATAGAGAGGTGGCCTGTATAGATTAATGGCCTTTATAGAGAGGTGGTCTGCATAGACTAATGGTCTTTGTAGAGAGGTGACCTGTGTAGACTTATGGTCTTTATAGAGAGGTGGCATGTAAAGACTTACGGTCATTATAGAGAGGTGAACTGTATAGACTAATGGTCTTTATAGAGAGGTTGCCTATATAGACAGGTTTCCTTTCCAGAGAGGCGGTCTTTATAGAGAGATGGCCTATGTGTAGAGCCGAACTTTAAGGCTTGTTGTACTCTGTACTCCTAAATGACAATATAAGGTCAACGACACAATATTTCTTCTTGTCTAATTACAATATACATTTTATTTTTATCCTTTCGTTATTTTAGGAATGTCACTAAACACCCTCAATTAAAGGTTATTATCTTAATCTAAATACATCTGTATATCTATCTAGGTTATTTAAATGTCATCACAAGATTGAAGTTTGTTATACCAAACGTTAACGAGATCCAACGACATTGTTTGTATTGTGAAAATACGTTTAAACACAAACAATAAGAAAGAACAATACTATATACAGCAGTGTATTGGTACCACCACAAGCAATTATTCTACTGTTGCACTATACAGAATGAAAACATTTTTTTAGGAATTTTAATATATCAGGAACTATGTGAATTTCAACACAAATATATATATATATATATTCATTAGAAATTAATTATTTCAGTCTCGTATTCCAAAATTGAATATTTTATAAGTTTATTATATATATAAAAAAAAACAAGAAAATACCAACATAAAATTAGATTATATGTTGATTTCGTTAGCAGTCATCACTTTCATAGGTTAATGGGTAGCTTTTGAGACTGTGTCAGCGTGAAACAAAGGGCTTAATAATGTGTATGTGTTGATCTTATAAGCTAAAATGAAAGAGAGAAACATCAATAGTAACAAGCCCCTGTGTATGAACCTTATCTGCTCCTTCGCATGTGTCTATAATACAGACGGAGACAGAAAAATACACCATCCCCTGTGTATGGGCCGTATCTACTCAAGGTTACCCATACTTTTTCATGTGTCTATAATGCAGACGGACACAGAAATATACACAATCCCCTGTGTATGAGCCGTATCTACTCAAGGTTACCCATACTTTTTCATGTGTCTATAATACAGACGGACACAGAAATATACACCATCCCCTGTGTATGAGCCGTATCTACTCAAGGTTACCCACACTTTTTCATGTGTCTATAATACAGACGGGGACAGAAATATACACCATCCCCTGTTTATGAGCCATATCTACTCAAGGTTACCCACACTTTTTCATGTGTCTATAATACAGACGGACACAGAAATATACACCATCCCCTGTGTATGACCCTTATCAGTGTAGAACCTGATCTCAGTCACAAGACTTCAACACTATGAGTTGTCAAGGGTGCAAGTACTTCATAGGAACCGACTGACTATTACAGTAGGATGCCTAGAGTGGGAGTGTCACATCCTGTGTATGTTGATATATGATGAATTATGCACGTGCTCTCTATCATATGATATTTCTTTTTGACTAGATATTACCATGATGATTACCCGATAATCAGCAGGCACGTGACATGCACGTGTAAACAAAACCACGTGTCCATTACAATACAAGTCATGAGTATATCGTTCCGGAAGTCCAATAATTATACAGACTAGTACGTCTGTATACGTTATTGCCACTATACATCTCCCTATCTGTCGCTTATAGACAAAAAATAAAACACCAATGAAAACCGAAAAAAAAGTTTACTAAGAAGCATGTTATGTGGAAACATAGCGCAGATTTTTTTTTTTTTACACTTAAGTAACACACACCTGGGCAAGAATTTAATACGAGAAATTAGATGTAACATAAGCTTGTGAAAAGTTAAAGGGTTTTAAATGAACTTAATTTCGTAAGCTTCGATCGAATTGCAAATGTATTTAGTGTACATAGTTGCCGCCGGAAATGTAAACTTTGGTCTGTAACAGCGACACATCTGTCTATGTTTTTACAAGTTTCTATTTATACTGAGTAAAGTATATTTCTACTGAATGTTAAGTGTTATTATAATTATATACACGTAGTCTACCAGGTTTTTGTCATATGTCTTTTATTTGATACTAAATTTGTTTGTGTCAGTGTAAAACACAGTAACATAGTAGAGTTTGACAACTACATGTGCTACAGATCAGATAATGTGCATTTGTTACCAGCGACCTTCTTTAGTCTAGAATGTACCAATGTTTATAACTTATGTGTACCTTGGACACAAATATGTCTTCAATACATGTTTTCAGTAGTACCGTTTCGTTCTCATTTGCATTGCAATTAAAACTCATTAAATTATTCCCCTTACAGTTCACATCAACAAAAAAAACAAAAAACAAAAAAAACAAAAAACAAAAAAACTTTTCTTCGAAGTTCTGCTTTTTGTTATCTCACTGAAAAATATTGATATTTTATCAGGTCTCCGTACGGCCCTAATTTCTGATTTTCATAACCTGAGAACACTTTAAAGTGTAGCTCCACAATTGTTCAACGATTTCAATCCACACCAAACCTAATCAGGACATCTACAGATAGACAGCATAAATCCAGACTATACAAAACACTGTTTACAATCTGTCTCAGTCTAACCAGTCTAGGATAATTTTGTTTGTAAGCGTAACGAATACACCTATTTATGAACAAAATCAGCAAGCATGCCGTAATTATCGATTTCCTCGTCCGAACAGACAGCGTAGTCTACTGTTATTATCGACCGTATTGTG